GAGGAAATAGATGATCTTGTAAAAAGATTAGGAATGGTAAATATCATCAATCCGGAATTTACTTAACAACTTTTAACGAAATATTTGGTAAAGGTGACCTCCGGTTATGTGGCGAAAGACCTAGAAAAACTTGTTAGATTGGCGGTGTTGCACTCTCTCAGAGAACTAATGGCCATAGATAAGAAACCAATGAGGCAAGATCATGATGATAATGAACTCGAGAATCTTTTCGGAAAGATGAGTTTAAGTGATATGGATTATGAAAGCGTAATGAAAAGGTTGATTACTTCCCAAAATGGATTTTACATATAAAGCTTAATCTCGTTGTTTTTAATCCAAGAAATGCTTAAATTTCTATAGATCGTGGAAATTGAAGTGGGATAATTTTCAGTACGCATTATCCATAATGAAACCCTCGCAAAAAGTTGAATTTGAAAGTGTATTGCCAAGTAGACGTTGGTGTGATGTTGGAGGGTATTGTTTAAATTTTAAGTTTTTTTCTTTATTTATTATTATTATTTTTTTTTTTTTTGATAATTAGACAAATAGATTATGGTGTACTTTAGATATGAAGACCTAAAGAGGAAAATAGAGAAAATGGTCAAATTACCTTTAACTCATTCAGACACATATGCTAGATTGGGACTGAAACCCACTTCAGGATTATTGCTTTATGGTCCATCTGGTAAATCTTTATTATTTAGTCAGTAATTACGAATAGGCGTTAATAGGTTTGCACCAATTTAAATAGGGTGCGGAAAAACTATTTTAGTGCAAGCATTGGTTTACGAATCCAGGATGAATGTCATTTGTGTTAAAGGGTTAAGTTATAACTAATAAGAAATATATGCATCTATATTAATTTATACATTCCTGTTCGTTATCTCATTAAATTTACAACCGCAAAAATATAGACCATCGATATGCTCAAAATACTTTGGAGAAACTGAAAATATTATCCGGAATTTGTTTAAGACTGCAAGAAAAATATCACCATGCATTATATTTTTTGATGAAATAGACTCTATCGCTTCTAGGCGAGGTATGTGAACTCCTATACATGAGTGTCATTGTTCCGATATTTACTGAATATATTTTTTTTCTTAAGATTGGAACGATGAAGAGGGTAATGTAGGAGTGGGTGAGCGCGTGCTAAGCACTTTGTTAAATGAAATGGATGGTATACAAGAATTGAATGATGTGCTGGTAATTGGGTGTACTAATCGACCAGATCGAATTGATGATGCCTTAGTAAGACCAGGTTGGGTCATCTTAATGAATTAATTTATTTTCCCTTTTGTAATATTTCCATGATCGATGATTTATTCTGTATAATGCTCATCCTATTTTTATTATCTCACGAACAGGTCGAATTGATCAATCATTATACGTGGGACTACCAAATAAGGATGAACGAACTGATATATTAAAGGTCATTTCAC